AAAGCTTATTGTAAGTCTCAGGCAGTGCCAAAGAAAGGATGTCTTCTCTTCTAAGACACAGTGCATCTTCATTCTGATTAGCTTTGTCTTGCTGCTGAAGAACTCAGACTTAGTATAGTAAATGTATAACAAATGACTCTAGGGATCCTGGGAAGTTTGGGTACCCATATTCCCTTGGACTATGTTATAGATAATATACAGTGGTCATCATCTGGTTCAGCATATATATAATAAATTAAATCTTCATAGGTTACTCTTTCTGTGAGATTGCCCTTTTGATTTCCATGGCATTTTCTCAAGTTGACACCTGGTTTGAAGGTTATCTGAAGAGCTTTCCATTCTGTCTGATACAACACTATGGGAAAAAGAACATAGCCCATCCTGTTGAAAACTTCACGTTAAGAATGCATGGCAAGGCCCACACCATGCTGTTTGGAGAAACAAACAAATAATGAAGGACGATAACTCAAAGGAGAGCCATGTGATTGACGGTAAAAACCCTCTTCATTAAAAAAAAGTAAATGGTGCCTGTAGGCAGTTTAGAGGAGTGCTAAACAAATTTAGGGGAAATGAATGGGCCCAAGAAACAGAAATTAGCTTCTAAATGATTCTCTCTGGAATTTGAATGAGCTTGAGAAACCTGTCCTGTCTTATGGTAAAGTTGTTCCAGGTGTGGTTACAGTCCTCAGACTTCTTTCCTGAGACGGATAGTCCAGTTTCCCAGAAGAGATGCAGATAGTTGTGGCTGTATTTTTGCAGGGCTTGTTGTACAGCAGATAAGCGATACCAGAGCAAAACCTTCCCACCATCCGATGCTCAGCCAGGACCTTTGGTGTGAAGTAGTCAGCAGAGCAGCAAGTTATAATGTGGGTATTATTATCTGAGCCCTAAACCTATATCAGGTTTTATGACAGACCTAAATCTCTTGTTGGGTCTTTAGTTCCTTGCTTCCAGCCTATTGCTTTGAATAGATATCTTAATTGAGTAACAACTTTTCTTGAGAGAAAAAAAATTTAAAGGGAAAAATATTCATTTCTATTCGACCTGTAAAGTACATTTATTCACACCACTGCACATTATCCTCTTGGCTAGGAGAAATTTAAGTCTCAACCTTCTTGACATTACTCTGGGTCACTTTTAGCCACTTTTGTCATACAAAGGTCATGATGAATTTTCTGATGGAAATCTTTGGAGCCCTTTTGTGAATGAGGTAATCTTAAGGCATTTGAAAGAATATTGAGATCTTTTCTACATTTCCACTTGATTGCATGAATATTCCACTCTCATATTCATGCCCCCCCAACAGCTCTGCTTCATTATATGCCTAAGATTATATGAGTAATTTTAAGAGCTATTAGGAAGCCTCTGACAACACCTGAGCAGTAGTCCTTGCCATAGCACACACGGATCATTCGCCTTTTCTAGCTTTCAAAGCATTGTGATTCATTCTGAGAGATTTGGCAAGTTCTGCTTTTAACTTTTAATTTTTGTCCTGCTTGATATCTAACCAACATTCGTGTGTACTTTCTGGAGAAAAGACTTCTCTGCTTACACACATTTATATATTTGCATGTGCTTCTATTCTTGGGTCCTTTGTAACGCATTTGTTTGTTGGGTTTTTTCTTTATAAGAAAATCAATAGGTTCTTTTTCTTGAGTGAATATTGATATTACTGACAATGTCCTTCCTGTTCTGCTTACAAATGTCCTATTGAGGTCATGCCCAGCTCAAAGTATGAGGAAGATTCAGCTGACAGGCAGGGCAGTACCTACAGAAATAAGTCAAGGCAGGGAGCACAGGTTGACAAGTAACCTGGAGCATACTTGCCCAGCCCAGGAGACCTGTCCAGGAAATGACAGCTGTGTCACACCGTGCCTCTCTGCCGGAGGACCAGCTGGTTTCTTTGGACATTAATTATTAGATTTATCCCACCTTCAGAAAGATCAAAATTAAAAGTAATGAGAAATATCAAGCATGTGACAAAAAGGAAATTTTCTAAGTTACAGTTGCAAAAATACACTTTTTTTCACAAGATGGAGTTGTTTTTTTTCTTTTTGACAGATTTCCCAGCTTCATTGGTGTATGTCTAACTCCAGCCTATCTCAGAGAAAAGCAGTAAAAAAAAAAGGCCTGGAGACGCTAACTTGTACAAAAATTTAGCAACTACTGAAGTACTAACCAAGGTTAAAACAGTGACCACCAAACAGTTTTCTAAACACTTATGATAAAATTTTTTACCAATGTATGAAAAATAGTACAATTATATTAATTCAAATATATCCAGGGGCCAGGGAGATGGCTCAGTAGAATAAGTACTTCCCTGACAAGCACAAGGGCCTGGGTTCAACCCTCAGTTCTACCAAAAAAAATAAATATAAATATATATATATATATATATATATATATATATATCCATTAAGGAGGACTATTATATTTTTATTTTGATATATTCATTCTTTCATGTGGTTATCAGTGGTATTTCCAACATATTTGCTGGGCTAAAAAAAAAAATGTATCATCCTTGTCTTGGTTCATTCAGTGAGAGGAATAAAAGTCCTTTCCATGCAAAAGTCTGAGAATTAACAGGCTAGAGGAATTCTGGCACAGTGTTCTTTGTAGTAGATGCTTTTCCTTAGTTATTTCCTGTGCTTCCCCCCACCCCCTTTTCTTTTTAGGAGAAAGACATCCACCAGCTACTTTTGCTCCATGGCTAAAGAAGACCTCCCTTTTTTGCTCAACTGACAATTATTAAATCATTTTTTAAATTTTAAGTAATTGGGTCATCAAATTAATATATATTTAGGAATACTTGATCTCCTAGTAAGCATAAATTACCAGAAGACTTTAAAAAGTTTTCTAAAAATAATTCTGATCTTAGTATTATAATTTCTCCTACCTCAATTACAAGAAGATTCAGTCCTCTGACCTGTTTTCATGAAGTATCTTCTAAAGTCATGTCCACACATGCCCACAACCTCCTTACTGCAGATAGCGAGGAGGAAATATTCAAGAATGAATAGTGTACTCATAGCTCTAACTACTTTATCTTTGCAACCATGGCAGAATTATCTACTACTTATTCTGGTACTTTTACTTTTTAATCTAAAGATATTATAATCAGTTGCCTGATGATAATAATAAATTTTCAAAGTAATGTTCCATATAAGAGAAACTCTTTGGAAATGTGTTGATTATTATGGCTAATGATAAGCCTTGGACTTTGTAGACAAATATTCAGCCGGTAATGTCTGGTTGCCAGCTCTTTTGGCTGTGCAAGGTGTGCTTTTTGGTAAGGCATTGTGTGTCCAGGCATTGCATTCTACCAGCGACAGAGGTAGAACTACTTTGCTGGGCTGGAAAAATAGCCACAGCCTCAGTGAGGAAGCTTTATCAAAGGGAATAAAACATAGAAATATGCTACTACTTCTGATTAAGTTGACCTGGAGAACTTAAAAGCTGTAGTTACTCTTGATGTTCATTCCGATGCACTCTTGTGTGCCTTTCCTTTTGTGCTCTAGTAATTTGAAAAAATGTTTATTTGGCTCCTGCTATGTGTATTGCATTGTGTCTTACTCTGATTAGCCCATATGTACAAGCAGGTCTACCTTTCCGCTTATGCCCTCAAAATCTAAGACAAGAGATGATGTATGCATGAAGCTATCTGGTCTGGAAGCACTTCTGTACACGACTGGCAGGAGAAAGAAAAATGGAGCAATTTCAGAGAAGGAGGATTTTTTCTTTGGAGAACTGGGAAAATATTCATGAAATGGAACAGAATATTAAACAAGAATTAAGATGTGAAATTCTGGGATGCGGTGACTCTAGAAAAGTATACAAATCAGCACCATGAGAGGGAGATTCTATATATGTGTTGCAAATCTGATTAGAGTTTTGGGATTTCTAGGAGAGCAATGAGTAGCAGCTTCTGCTCAATCACAGTACAAATGAAGGATTACATTTAAAACTAAAGATTTTGGGCTTCAGTCTACAGGGTCCTGGGTTTTTATATACCAGAATAACTTAGCCATATGACAGATGAAGGCAATCGATCTGGAGGGTTTTTGTAAGCTGCGTTGAAGAAGGCAGTAACCAAGAATTCAGGTGATATTTGGGAACCATTGGTGTGCTCCTTCAAAGGCACTGAACTACTGTCGTGGCCACAGAAGTGACCCTTGGATGATCACATGGAGAGGTGTTGGGGTGTAGCATGGAACAAGTGTTCAGTTCGTTGAACATGAGGTAAAAAGAGATTGAGAAGAGTCGAGTAATATTTTAAGAAAAGAAGTGAGTTTGACTGATAAATAATGGGCTCCTGTTTTAGCTACCTTGTATTCAAAGTGCCCACAGGGATTGAAGTATAAGTGGCTGAAGTACAGTTAATAACATACACATCAGAAAATAAAGGGAAAAACAAGTCAAAAGTAAATTTTTACTTTTGTTAGACTTTGGATAGGAGTAATAGTTTTCGTATCTATGTTGAGAGTTCACCAACAGGCATGAGAAGTAGAGAGAAAGAAGAGAACAGGGCCAGCACTAGATCCATGGAGAGCATCTACATTTAGAGAGTATAAAGAAAAAAGAGAAAATCTTCCTCCAAAAAGACCTCAAAACCTGTAGAAGCAGTCACAGGCAGCAGAGGTGCAGGGGCCTGGCAAATAAGGGCAAAGTAGGTAGGATCAGAGATGCTGGCCCGGACTAGCAGAGGTAAGCTTGCCTGCAAACTGAAATTGTTGCCTGTGAGAAGAGAAAAGCTCTGAATGTAGCCAAGCATGCATGTTTCCAGAACAGAGAAATTTTTGCATCCTTACAGTTTCCTGGAATGACTGCTGTCATCCCCAACCACAGGCTCCTAATTTCCTAGCGGGGCATGTAATCAGCAAACTGCTGCTCTGCTCCCCACCCCAGAAGAGTCTTTCCCACAAACACAATAAAGGCTTTTTCAGAAGTCCTCTAGAAGTCCAAGGCTGTGTTAGTGGTTTTGTTATCTCTGTTTTCATCAGAAAAGAAATCCTGTGGAATTGCGGGTTCCCACTGGGAAACACAGCCTGTCTGCATCTGGACCAGCTGTTGCAAACCTGTTCTTCCCAATTTGAGGTCAGTGAACACCCTGCCTGAAAGTAGTGTTTTGTTATATGTGGGTATTCTTTTTTATGATGGATTGACTTTTTTTCTGGTTCTTAAATGGGTCCTTTTCTTAAACAGATAAGAGCTACTATAATAAATTATATGCTTTTGCACAGTGATGTGAGTTCTTCTAGGACAAGAGCCTTTTCCTACATATTTTTGTGTTTCCATGGTACCTTACCATCTCACTGAATGAACAGATAATAGTACTATATTAGATGGGCAACAGAAAAATACTTACTTTGGCTATATAACTTTTTGTTTAGTTTGGCAAGTATACATACTATGGAAACATTGTTTCCTCATAATAATGCCCACCATTGGAAAACCTTATAGGTTAAAATAATTTTTGAATTTACAGTATTTCTTTAATAGTTTTGTAAAGTAGGGATTAATATAGTATTTTCATTTCACAAAAGAGGAGGTTAAGTTTGAGAGAAGTCACGTGACTTGTTGAAGGTCGTGTACCATGTTATCAGATACGAGACTGAATCCGGTCTTGTTCTTCAAGTCTCATGCCCTGCTACTTAGCTGATGTCTAGAGAAGCAGTTTTTTTTACTGTTAAGGTCTTACCAGGATGACTTGAGCTATAGGCCTGCTCTGGAATCTCCAAACAGCATTGAGCAAAAGCATGAGACTGTACTTCCACTTACAAAGTGGTGATGAGTTCGTACATATAACGTGGTTAGTTTAATAGGATAACCTTTATAAGTATATAGCATTGTTAGCTAGTATTATATCATGAAACATTTATTTGTAAATAAAAATAAACTTATTTGGCATGTATTGATTGACAAAAGATCAGCTTTTTCCATGAATAAGATATTTTAATCAGCCTGAAATTTGATGCTCTTGGTAAATGCAGTGGTTTCAAGGTAGGTGCACTACTGATTGACCGATACAAGTATCAGATAGTGAATTTAATTTCTTAGTTTTATACTAGATAACATCAAACAGAAGTAATGAGGCTCCGTTGGTCCTTTACACAGGGTACAGTCAAGGTGATATATTTTCTGGGGAGATAACTCAAGAGCATAAGTGCCTGCCTGGCAAGCCCAAGGTCCTGAGTTCAATCTCCAGTACCACAAAAACAAACAAATAAGATGATCTGTTAAACTACGTGATACAGTGTCTCCTACCTGTACCCTAGTCCAGACTGCTCAATTGATTTAGGGAAGTATTTCTTTCTCATTCTCCATGATTGCCCCTCTACTCCTATTCTTATTTTTCCTGGAATTTGAAATCACCGTTCTGATTTGGAACTTCTGCTCAATGACTCAATGACTATTACACTGCTCTTCAGTTAATTGTATATGTACCATTATTTGATTAATGGAGATCATTAATGCTAAACCCTCATTAAAATACCATTTTTCAAATGTGTTTGCTCAATACTGTTTTACATATTATTTTAATAATGAATTTTAAAAGGATAAGAACCAAATAAGCTACCAAATTGTTTGCATAAATAGTGTGGCTTTCTAGATGCCTGCATTGACAAAGTGGGAGAATACAGAGAAGAGAGCCAGACTGCTGTGTGTAGACAGGAGCTTCTGGGGAGTGCCAGAATACTGGCACACCAAGACATGTAAATGCTAGTCAAAGATCTCTGGGCACTCAGGCTGCTTTATTTTACCAAAATAAATGTGTTCTCAATGTGATTCTAGAAGCAGACAAACATGATAGTTAAGTGTATTCAATGGAATCCATAATTTGCTGGTGTAAACTGAAATGGTAACAGAAGCCTAAGTATAAAAGGACAGTGTTGTATCAAGAATTCAGCCTCAAGCTGGCCAGTAGCTCAGCAGACTAAAGCTACTGCTTAGGCAGGTGCAGGGACTGGGGTTCTATCCCTAGCATGCTGTGCTGGCCTCACCCATGGGGTGTGCTGAGATGGAGATTGAGACTGGGTGTTGTGACACATGTCTGTAATCCCAGAACTTAGGAGGCTGAAAACAGGAAGATCACTGTGAGTCTGATCTGTGTAGTGAGACCCTGTAGACCCTGTAGTAAATATATAATGAAAGAAAGAAAGAAAGAAAGAAAGAAAGAAAGAAAGAAAGAAAGAAAGAAAGAAAAAAATTCAGCCTCATTCTGAATGTTGGCAGAAGGCTCTGCCTGCTGAAAGCATCAGTGAGAACAGCACTTGCATAGTGAACCGCCACATGAGAAGTGGGCCTGAGGATGGCTGACACTGCTCCTCTGCTGAGTTACTACTTCCTTTGAGCTCTGCAGCCGGAGCTGAATCAACTGGGACATGGGGCATGTGTGTGTCTGGTTCTGTTCCACCAGTTGATAATCCAGTTACAAAGTATATTAATTTTTTTATATGTAGTAAATGAGTAAAGTGGTATTTCAAATGGATAACTTCGATAACTCATCGCAAGGCCTGGAAGCATCTTCTGGCTTTCATTGTAGTTATTTGAGACCTGTGTAATATAGAGGAAGCAGGGTAAGTTAATTCATACTCATTATCAAAATATATGGGGTGGGATTATGCACTTGATCTTTGCCAAAAGGTCGAGAAGTGATGGGGTGGGATTATGAAAAAGAATTATCTTTTCCAAATATAAGAGAATCATTTGTATATGAATCTGTACATCCTCTTAACTTTGTGAAGGATAAAATCATAATTATCTTATTCCTTGGACACTCCTTAGAATGTAGGTAGTATTATTTATTTATATGACTATTGACTGACTTTTTAAAAGACTTTCAGGGTTGGGAATTTAGCTTAGAGGAAGTACACATGCTTAGCATGTGTAAGGTCCTGGGTTTGGTTCCTAGCCCACATGCACACACACATGTGCATGTAAGTGGATGTGCATGCATGCACACACACACACACACACACACACACACACATGCATAGTGCATTCATGCACACACACAGGCTTTCCAACAAATACTCCAAGGGAGCTTTTGTTATAGCAATATTAATGTTATGTGTGTTTTAAAAAGTATTTCTTTACCAAGAACTAATTCCTTATATTTTTCCTTCTACTCTGTTACTTTTCTGAAAAAAAGTAACATATAAATTATTGTTTCCTAAGCTTGAAACTATTCCAGGATGGCTTTCCTTGGACTGTTCTCTTTGCTGGTTCTGCAAAGTGTGGTGTTAGGGGCCACTTTCCCTGATGAAACCATTGCTGAGGTGTCGGTGAATATGTACAACCATCTTCGAGCCACTGGGGAAGATGAAAACATTCTCTTCTCTCCACTGAGCATTGCCCTTGCAATGGGAATAATGGAACTTGGGGCTCAAGGGTCTACTCTGAAAGAAATTCGCCTATCAATGGGATATGACAACGTGAAGCATGGTAAGTGTGCTCTGGCTGGATTTCTCTGGGTGACCTGACTAAATCTAAGCTTCTCTTCTGGAGGGTTAATAATTTGTCATGCAAATACATAAAAATTACAACTAGAATTATTTGTTTAAAGAGAGGAATATGGTCTGTAAGACTACCTGATAGTTTTGGCTTAAGATAAACTGTATCCCCTTTTATAAATAGCACAGAGGAATTTTTGAAATGTTATATTACTATAAAAATTAAATGTGTCAGGGAAAATTTCTAGCCAAAAGGTATTTTATAATCACTTTAATACCACGTATGATTTCTATTTTAATGCTTCTAATGTGCATATAAATTAAATCATTAGAAAATTAAGGACTATGACAACTTATAATGTATTTTCTAGTTATAATATTTAAAAAGTCTAGCAATAGTGAAATTTAAAGGAAGAAATATCTTGAATTTCTTTTTTTTTTTTAAATCAAGTTCAGGCTGGCCTTGAACTCACTGTGATCCTCTGAGTCAGTTTTCCAAGTGCTGGGATTACAGGTGTGCACAATGCTTCCATGCTAACATGAATTTATACAAATAATTAAACACAATTTTCCCTGATAATTATAAAATAAGATTAATTTAAAGAAAGCAACCCAAGTGTTTTGAAAGAAAATCACTGACAGAATTCTGCTTTGTAGATTCTAGCAATATAATAATGTAATGAAAAATAGTATTATGGGCCGGGGAGATAGTTCAGTAGAATAAGTGCTTCCTGGCAAGCACAAGGGCCTGAGTTCAATCCCTGGTTCCAAAAAAAAAAAAAAAGTGAGTTGAAAATATTAAGTAATACAGGTTTATTGAAATATCTAGCAACAGTACAAGCAGCATTGGAATAGTCTTACCATGTCTGTGTGGAGAATAAGCCTGCTTTTCTCCTGGGGCCATGTTCGCCTTATGTCCCTCCCTGAGTTCTAGTGCTTGTTTACTCTTCTTAACCTTTTACCATGGTTGTTCCACTAATAAGCTTGTCCTTTGTCATCTTGCAGGTGAAGAGTTTTCTTTCTTGAAGGATTTTTCTAACATGGCAACTGCTGAAGAGAGCCAGTATGAGTTGAAAATTGCCAATTCTCTCTTTGTACAAAATGGATTTCACGTCAAGGACGAGTTTTTGAAAATGATGAAAAAGTACTTTAATGCTGAAGTAAATCATGTGGACTTTAGTCACAGTGTAGCTGTGGCCAACTACATCAATAAATGGGTGGAAAATAGCACAAATAGTATGTTCGTTCTTTCTCTAATAGCTTAGTTTAACCATCTTTTAGTTTTTGGATTATTTGTCCCCTCAGTCCTTTGCTTTTTGACTATGAGGTGGCATTGAGTTGCCACCTGGTAATTGGGTACCTGGTACTTGTTTTCTATAGGTTACAGTCCCTCTCAGAAATATTGTTTAAGAATGAACTTCTGAGGAAGAAGTGAATTCTTTTCGTGTATATAGACCACCTGAATCCTGTGCTCCGATTGATGGGTTTTCTCTATATAGAAATGGAACTGTGTTGAGCCGACTACTGAATAAATACATCACTAGATAAAATAGTGTTTAGTGGTTCTTTTAGCAACACATTTAAGATAGAATTAAAGAGGTAAAATCAGAATTTTAAAAAAATTTGTTGACTTTAAAGCTCCAAAACTAAATTGGCAATAAAAAAAAAATTGAAAACAATTATTTTTGAAAAACAACCCAGGGGACAGCCAGATAGCTCAGCAGATTAAAGTGCCTGCTTAGGCAGACTTAGAGACCAGGGTTTGATCTCTAATATGCCTTGCCAGCCCGATCCCTGGGGTACACTGAGATGGCTATTGAGACTGGGCGTGGTGGCATGCATCTGTAATCCCAGCGCTTGGGAGGCTGAAAACAGGAGGATCACTGTGTGTCTGATCTGTGTAGTGAGACACTGTAGACACTGTACTAAATACATTAAATAAATAAGATTTTTTTAAAAAAGCAAGAAAACAAAAGCAACCCAGACAGGGGTTTAGCTCAGTGGCATAGCATCTGAGCTGTAGTTCGGCTCATGCTATCGCTCATAGCATCTGACTGGCAAGTGCAAGGTCATGAGTTCAATTTCAGGTAGAAAAAACAAAACAAACAAGAAAACCTAACCAATTTTAAGATCAAATAAATGGAAAGGAATCAGAATAAGATCCACTTACCTTACTCAGCAGTAGTGACACATGGTGGTAATCCTATGAGGCAGAAGGGTCATAGTTTTGAGCCCAGCCCAAGCAGTTTAGCCATTGAGAAAGTCCCTGGCTCAAAAAGTAAAAGTAAAACAAAAAACAGCTTGTGATGTTGCTCAGTGCAAAGGCCCTGGGTTCAATCCCCAGGGCTTTAACTCCCTACAGAATGTGAAAATGATAATAATAATAGTAAAAAAGTAGAAATAAACAATTAAAATTTTTTTACACAGAAATTTAGAAATCTAACCATATACAACATTGTAGCAGAACAGTTCTATGAAGTATAAAAAGTAAAGCTATATTAATATGCTGAGCTGTAAAAGGCTCAAGTCAACAACTTCAGACTTTGCTAATCATGCGGATAATCCACTACTATTATAGACTACTGGACTATAATGGATTACTCTACTGAATTCATGCACCTACAATATATGAATGGCGGTGGAATACCCATCTCTTACAAAAGTAAACAAAAAAGGGAGATATAAATGAAGGACCATTTTGTAGTGAAAAAAAAATGTATGTACAAAATAGTTAGCATAGATATACAGCTACTTTCTCTTAGTTCAATGAGAAGAAAGTTTTGAACTAATAATGTTTAGATAAGATATCATGTCTGCATCTTGTACTATGAATAACTACTACAAAGACAACAATATGCAATTTATTAATTATTGTAACTGTCCTACTAACCTGTTTTGAAACTGTCTCATTGTTACTTCTTAATAAAATTAATATAAAAAAATCCCCAGGCTGCAATCCCTACAAAAAAAGCACTTATATTAAACTTTACTTATAATTCATATCTGAACATTTAAGATCTACAGATGTGCCACATTTAACTTTTTAAGTTTTTAATTTTGTTTATTTGCTATAGCCTCACCGTGTAGCTCATGCTGGGTATGAACTCACTAGGTAGCCCTGGCTGGCAAAGCAGTCCTCCTGCCTCAGCCTCCCAGAGTTCTGGGTGCCAGGTGTGGGCTACTGTGACTGGCTAAGGTGTTCCACATTTTACCATTTTATCTTCTAATTTTATCTGAGTAATAATTGAAATTAGAATTTAAAAAGTGAAATAAATTAAAGGCAGATTATTATAGCTATTCATTAAATTAAATTTTAATGTCAAAAATCCCAAGATATGTCAGTCCAAAATTTTACATTAAGACCCAAAAATACCTTAATCAAATACCCTTTTTCCCATCAGTCACAAAATACTGAGACATCTATCTTAAGTAGTATGACTAGTATAATACAGCAGATACAGAACGTATTTTGGTCCTATGCTTTTCAAGGTTGAATTGTAGCACAAAGAAACTTGTGTTGAAGGGTTTCTGTAGCATTTAAAGAACAAGTCAAGAATAACAATCTACCCAAAATAGAGTGAATTATTAAAGTCTATGAGTTTTCAAACTCTTGGACAATTCCAGGAAACTACAAAGACCAGTATCTTTCAAAGTATGTTTGAAAAGGAGCAGCTCAAATGATAGAATGAAGGCATCAAAGCTTAAGGGCTTTCACTCATCTGTTGTCAGCTAGTTAATAGCAACTGTTGTATTTGTACACAGACATCCAGTGCTCGTGGGGAAAAGTTTGAATTGGATGGCATCTAATCTTGAACATTGTTCAGGAATCAATTTAGAAACATTTGCGTGCTCAGTCAGTGTTAAGAGTTTTCACATGCATCAGCGCAACTGCACAGCAGTGAAGCCTGAGAGTCACTGCACGATGCTGCGAGTTTGTTTTCAGGATGCTGCTGCTATTATTTAGGTGGTGGTGGTGCGCTGATGTCCTTAGTTGCTAATTATGCTCTGTGTGTGTGTGTGTGTGTGTGTGTGTGTGTGTGTGTGTGTGTGTAATTTTTATCTTTGAAATTAAGATATCTTATTTTTATTATAAATGTAGTATACAATATTTGTGAGCCACATGGTGATAACGGGCGGTACTCTTCAATTTTAATTTAATATAATTTTTTTCTGTCTATTTTTCCTTAAATAGATTTCCTGAAAGACTTGGTGTCCCCAATGGATTTTGATGCTGTCACTCATCTGGCCCTCATCAATGCTGTGTATTTCAAGGGCAGCTGGAAGTCACAGTTTAGACCTGAAAACACTAGAACTTTTTCCTTCACTAAAGATGATGAAAGTGAGGTCCAAATTCCAATGATGTATCAGCAAGGAGAATTTTATTATGGTAAGCAATTTTTGTTTTTATTTCTTTCTTCTTGTAATACACCAATAAATTTTAGAAAAATAAAATGAAATATTCATTGCTCAAACTCTTTGTCAGGCTAATTTGGGCTAGAATTCGATTTCCTTAGCTGCATTTTCAAAGGCTACTTATAATTAGATGTTGAGTGAATATTATATGCTTTGACAGTTTTCCAATATATATTTTTTAATTCCTATAGCTGATCCTACTTGCTGAGTGACTTTTTCATCTGAAAACATCTGGCATGATGTCACTGGCTTTGAGGAGATTTGACTACGTGGTCCACCAAACTCTTGATTTAGGCTCCTTACTACTTTTCGAATTGGAAGCATTCTTCTCACATGAACATTTATATTTTTTTATTTAAAATGTATTAAATGTCTGGCCAGAAATAATTGTTCATTCAGTTTTACTTAGTGGCTGACTATACTTTGTGATAAAATTTAATACCCCTAGTATTGTTTCCAAAGATGTTTCTTTGGATTTTTCAGTTTAATGTGTTCTTTCTTTCTGTATATTAAATCAAATTATAATAATTTGTGAAGTCCTAGGCAGCAATGCAATTTAAGCAAGTGTATTTTAGAACTAGTACTTTATATTGTTTAGAAGTATATTGTAGTGTTAAAAGACTACAATCATAGCAAATCTAGTTAATAGTCAAAACATGAAAGGAACATCCCAATCTGTATGAAAATTAAATATTTAGTGTAATGTCTAAAATCCTAGATTATTGGAAAATGTTCATTAAAAATCATTACATTAATTTTTTAAAGTAGGAAAATTTTAAAGCAATGGCAGAATATTTTGAAGATTGTTGAAAATATAGGCAAGCCTAGATAATTTGGCCAAGTTCATAGAATACCAAACAAACTACCTGATTCCCTAATTTTATATCTTAATCATCATAAATACACTCTACCAGTGGTGGCAAAACAGCCTACTGTGGCATGTGTGCCATAGGTTCGCCACCACTGCAGTAGACTATTGAACTCAATAACTAGATTTCATTTTAGCTGTGTAACTGTGGCCCCAAAACTTGAATTTTGTTAATATTAGAATACCAGGTATTGGGCCAGGGATATAGCTCAGTACATTAAACACTTGCCTGGCAAGCACAAGGCCCTGAGTTCAATCCCAGATACCACCAAAAAAAAAAAAAAAAAAAAA